CGTTCCAGCAGGTTAAGTGTTTCTATATTATCATTTTTATTTGATCCATTTTGCTTAATTTCTTTAGACTGTGGTTTTCTCTTCTGTAGCCAAGTGGATAATAATAAAAGTGTCTAACTCATGGCATAGTGGTGAGTATTAAATATGCTAATTCATGTAATTCTTATTTGTAATAGTGCCTGGCCAAAGCACTTGATAAACGTTAGCTTTTATTACTACTGTTAAATCTTCCACCTTAATGTTGTTTTTCATTCTTTTTCCATCTTTATAAATTCCAATCACATTATAGCTAGTTGTACATATTTATAATCACAATACATAAATATATTTTTGTTACATAGTGTTTTCTATAATATACAATTTTTTGTATAATATACAATCTTCATATGTATCATTTAAATATCTCCCTAGTATCTTATTCAGCAAAGAGCAAGACTATGACAGTTTTATCAATGCTCTGGATGGAAATCAATGGCCTGCTTCTTGGATTTTCAGATAACACAAAACTTGGAGGGATAGATAATAACTTGGATGACAAGATCAAGCCTCAGAAAGATTTCAAAAGATTGAAGCAATGGGCTGGAATTAACAAGATGAAATATAATAGGAATCAGTATAGATATTTGCTCTCAGGCAAAGTGCCCAAATATAGGTAGGAGACAGGCAAAGGGTTTGCTGAAAGCTCAACGTGGATCAACAAAGTGACAGATCTGGGTAGATAACTTCAGTCATCCTAGGGGACAGAAGCAAAGTAAGTCATCTACATTTAAAGATAGGTTTGCTCCAGGCCCAACGATGTTCCTGAAAATGGCTTGCATGTAATAATGATGAAATCTGAATAAAAGTCACTGGATTTGTCAAGATTTATTTCTTGGTTTTGATATCATACTAATGCAAGATTTTACCACTGGGGAACATCAGATAAAAGACTTACAGGTTTCTACCCAAATTATTTCTTATAATTGCATGAAAATCTATATCTTCAAATAAAAATTATAATTATAGAACGGCTATTGAACATCATTTCACTGAATTGTTCAGTAGACATTTTGGATACCTTTATATTTTATTTCCCTCTGTAGAAGGTTCAAAGCTGATTTAGATGGAAGACTCAGTCTGGTGAGAAAGACACACACCAATGACTCAAATGGAACAGGTTGTGTATTGCAGTTGATATGTACTTAGGAGATACCTATAGATAAGAGTGGATAAGAGAAGGATTGAAAGAAGGTAACACTTTGACAGAAAGAGTAAGACTAAGTAAAAGTTTGCAAGACTTTCCAGGTAAACATGGACTAGGAGGAAGCAATACATGATCTACCAGGGCCTATAGGGCTGAGACATTTTTATGTAGTTAGGCAAAAGGATGGAAAGGTACAGTTCAGCTTTCCAAGGCTCTCAGTGTTATGGTAAAGAGGCTGGATTTATGGATAAGACTAAGATACACTGGTGATCATAAAGCTAAGGGGTGACATGGAGAAACAAGAATTTAGAAAGAAATTTCTAAATTTTTCAAAGGACAAGTTCTAAAGATTGTTCAGAGGAAAGAGAAGATGAGACTGTTGCAGTTGTTCTATGTAGACATGATTTAGGACTGAAATGAGAGAATGGTGTGTATGTGTATGGGAGGGTATGTGTAAGATAGATTCAAGAATTGTTTAGGAAATGAAACTAACTGGAATGAGCCACTGGATATATTTTATGAGAGAAAGGATAAAAGTTTTAAATGACTGGTAGGATTCAGATTGGTGTTATTTAATGAGATGAAGAATTAAAGAAGAAATAGGCTGGGTTTGAAGATTGGAGTTAAGGAATTTAGTTGTGGACATTCTATGTTTGAAGAACTCATGACACAGCCAAGCACATTCATGAGGTCTCTAGAGATGAGGTCTTGGACCTCAGTAGAGAGATGCAGGACTGGCAAGTTAGTGTTTTTATAGTTGCACCTTTTTCTCTTGCAAGGGCTGAGTCCCAAGAATGATGATGCCTTTCTAACTGATCTCTTGGCAACAGATAAAGTGTAGATACTCCCAGGATGAAACACTGAACTTAGATTGCCAACAGTAGTGTTGTGTGGTTGTAAGCAAGAACAGTGAGTTCCTTTAAATTGTCTGCCCAGGAAAAGAGGACATTTTTTTTCCTTTCTTAAAAGAAAAAAAAATGCATCTCTAGAGGATCATAAGGAAAAGGATGACAACAAGGAAGTATCACACTTTTCATCAAATATATAAAAATGCTCACTTTTCCTGCTCTAAAAAAGTATTTCTGATGCTTTGGCTGAGTAACATATGTTTTATTTTATTCATTTATTTTTGGGGTACAGGCTGGCCTTGATTTCACTATGTAGACCACAATGGCCTGAAAATCACAGCTGAAATTACAGGTGTTTGCCCAGCTAGTAACATGTATTTTTTATCAGTACTATAAATTCCTGAATCATAGTGTTTGAAGGAAAGCATAAATCTGAGACAGGCCTCAGCGATGGAAAAAAATCCACAAAAGGATACTTGAATAACATTAACTACTGATTTGGCTCCAGCATGACAGTGCTTCTTAATCCCCAACATCCCAAATACAATTTTGTATATGATGGGTGCTCACTCTTGTCAATTGTCCCTGTTGGGAAAGTGTTAGAAATAAAATGTCAGTCGGTGACAAGGTTGTTAATAGCCACTACAAACTTGCAAGGTGGTATTCCACAAATTTTCTCAGCAGAGTTCACATGAGGAGACAATTATCAAGGACCCAGTCCCCTATAACGCACCTTGTCAATTCTATTGAACACTTCGATGAGGAAAATGTGATTTTCTAGTGCTCAAGTCACTACAAAATTATACTTTATATTGAAATAGTTTACTACGAATTCTGTGTCTAGAGTAATACAGGAGAGGAAGTAGTTCCTGGTCAAGAGGCATTAGCAAGGTGATAAGTTGCTGTTGTACAGGTGGAGTTGGAATAAAAATAGGACAGTTTCTTGGGCAACCCATTTTGACCTTGCTTTCCTATCATGTGAATCTAGTCTTTCCAGCCAACATTTTACCCTGAGTTCTGAGAAAAGAGATGGGAGTGTGGCCCAGTGGAGTGGGTGAATGCTGCCATGGAAATGGAGTTGGACAATAGTTTTTCACATTCATTGTGCTGGAATATTATCCTGGACAGATCATTTGAAAAGTAAGAAAGAAAAAGAGGTATCTGAGCTGATACAGGTGCAAAGAACTCTTCCTACATCATAGATTCACCATGGAAAAACTCTGAGAAGACCTTCAGTGAACATACTTTTAAACTTTTGTCCTTTGTCCTATGTTCAAAAACATATTTGATCTCGTATTCCATTTTCACTAAACTGTGTGTGGGGGGGGGATTATAACTCATTTTGGGAAACACTGCTAGAGGCAAACAATAGCATAGATGAGATAGCATTGGTTTCCCCTTTTTATCAGTACAACATTAGGTCAGACAGAAGCCCCCATTTCCCCTGGATTTTGTTTAAAAAAAAAAAACACATATATCTAGAATGTCTGATTCCACTGACCTGACTAAGTTTATAGAGTTAAATGGAAAAAAAATCAGTGGAATACTATTCTGTCATAAAAGGATGAAATTGTGTCACTTGTGAATAAATTCAAAGATATCATGTTAGCTGAAATAAGCCAGGGAGACAAATATTGCATGGCATCACCCATATATTGAATGTTGATGTCATAGAAATACAGCGTAGAATGTTGCTTTCCGGAGGCTGCAGACAGTAGGGAGAGAGAGGGCTGGAAAAAAGTTGGTCAATGGAAATAAAGTTATAGTTAGATAGGAAAACAAGTCCTGCTGTGCCACCACAGAAAACAGTGACTATAGATAAAGACAATGTGCTGTAATTTTCAAGATAACTAAAAGACACAATTTTGGACATTCTCACCACAAAGGAGTGCTAAAGGAGATACTGTTAGCTAAATGCCTGATTTTATCATTGTAAAAAGCATTCATGTATAGACTCACAGTGTACCCCATAAATATGTGGAATTATTTTGTGTCAATTAAAAATAAAATAAGAACGGAAAATCTGAATCTTAGTTTAAAGACTCAGAGTCTTGTGTGATGCTGGGGTCACTGTTATGAATACCAGTGATGAGTCGTACTCTCCAGAGTGGGAATGGAAATGGGCAAAGTGTGTCCTGAAAGTTTCTAATCTAAGAAATTCCCTGCCTTGTGCTCATTTTCTTTCCCTTGCTTCTTTTCCCCAACACTGATTGGTTAGGAAATAAAAGCCATTCTGGTGGCTTGAAGTCCCAAAGTAGTATATCTTCACAACTGGCAGAAAAGGCATAGGAGTTCCCCGTGTTCAGAGGCAGTGAACATGACAAAGACAAAGAGCCATGAACTATCTCTTGTATCCCAAGTGGGAATGGAAGACACTTCAAATCAGTGTCTGGTATACCTTGGCCCACTTGAATCTTTAAATTAACCTAGCAGGTGAGCTGAAATCTTGCCCCAACCTCCAATTTCTGGTTTATTCCTGTGAAAAGGAGTACATGAATGTATTCTGGATCCTTCTGTGCTTTGGGCTTGATTTACAACAGTTAACTAGCCCTTGTAGTCACTTGTTCAGAGGAATAGCCTTGGTGCTGAGGAATTATCTGACTGACCTCCATTAATTCTTTTAAAAACGTGGAATGTAACCAACATAACTGAGTTATGCTTGAGTTCCTTGGAAACTCACTCTCTCTCTCTCTCTCTCTCTCTCTCTCTCTCTCTCTCTCTCTCTCTCTTTCTGCCTCTCTGCCTGTCTGTCTCTCTCTCTGCCTGTGTGTGCATGTGCATTTCTTTCCTCCCTAATTCCAGTTTCTCTTCTAGTTGCCTGAAGCAAGAGAAGGATCTTCTTCCACCTTAGATCCTTCAGGTAGATCCACAAGGAACTTTTTCTGCACTGTTAAGAGGCAGTGATGAAGCTGTGAGGTGAAGATAGGACAGAAAAGGAGAAGGTGAAAGAAGACAGACGGGAGTCTTACGTGGAGAAGGCATTGTTCTGTTTCTCACACCGGATCCCCTTGCAGTTGTTAGGCTCATCAATAGCTCTGGTCTCATAATAAAAATAAAGCTGGTTCAGTCCGTTGGCAAAAGCCAGCAGTACCAGGCAGTAGATAAAGAGGAATTTGAGGATATCAAGCAGCATGCGTCCCAAAGAGATCTGCAGAGGCCCTAAGTGAGAGTTGGCTGTGAACAGGGATATGAGACGCAAAGAACTTAAAATGTTGGATATGGCGAAGAGTGCCTCTGCAATCAAAGTTGGGTGCCACATTTCCCATTCCTCCCTTGGACGAGAACCATTATACTGAAAAGAAAAAAAAAAGAAAAAGAAAAAGAAATGCACCAGATAAGAAGTACAGTGAGTCACTTATGAAACTTTCCCTTTTCCACCCACCATCCCCAAATAAATTCACCAAAACATGAATTGAATATTCATTTATATAAAAGGCCCTGTGTATGGCACTATTTGTTTATCTTTTTGCCCCTTTTAATCAGTACATGATACTAACGTCTTTTCCTCCTACTCTTACCCAGCTAAATACCCAGCATATATACATAGCAGAATTAATTTCAGAGCAATCATCTGGGGCAACCTGTGGTTTGTCAACAGACATTTTTAAACTGTGTGTTGAATAGATTATTAGGGAAGATCACTGAAATGGAGCACTGGTATACCCAAAATAGTAGGGGACGAATTATCCTTATTTCTAATACTGTTTTAAGTCAGATCTACTGTCTCTGTCCTCTATTGGGTTCTGAGCTTGATGGATAACTTGCACTTACTGAAGGATGAGGCACAGATGTGGCCTCCTTAGTGTGCAGTATTCTGCCTAACTCCCCTGCTGGTTCCAGCTTGGAACTGATAGAGAATCCTTAGGAAGCCATTCACCAGAGCTTTTTGCTAAATTTTTGGGTTTGTAATGTATTCCACAGTCTTGCAAATGGCATGTCAACTTGCCAGGTAGCAAATTTAGTGCTTGCCCACACTGAGGCATGGTGGATGTATTTTACTATTCTTTAGACACCCCTGCACATTAGAATGGCCTTTCAGCACAAAGGAAGAACTAAGAGGTGAAAGGAGAGGAGTAACCAGAATTTATAGGATTGGTCACCCATTTTTCAGCCCTATCTAAAGCTTCCAGCTTCTGGAATGCAGTAAATAATTTTGAGAAAAAGGACTCTGTTGTGATGTTTGGGCTCCAATTTGGGCATTGTCATTTAAAATTGCCTGTATCTGTTACCTTCACCATAACATAAGGATAGTGCCTTCTCCTACCCTGTACATGTTTGTGATTCTATGTCCATAAGCAAAAATCTGTGTACTCCATAACGGTAGATGTTATGGAAATACAAATAACTATTTATTAACTTCCCCAGGACAGATAAAGATTTTGCCTGGGATTCAACCTGAAACATTATATTGAGTTCTCATCTAAATATCAGAATTTTTCAGGACCAATGTAAACAGCTTTCCTGAGAAAATGTGTTGGGAATCAAATTATATTTAGCATTTATGAAATGTGCTTCCACTCCAACAACTGAGGAAACTAGTGGTGTTAAATCACTGTGTGTAGCCAATATTCTTCTCTCTCAGAAGAATTGGAAAAGCCATGCCACATTTGTGCTTCTTTTACAAATAGACTTTTAGGTGGCCAATCAGTTTTATGTGTTCCTGGCAAAATCTTGTATTTTTATATCTTTCCTTCTAAAACATATTCAGTGCATTGCTGTTGAGTGCTAGGCGTTGTTATGCCTGTTTTACAAATGGAGGAACTGAAATCCAAAGATGTAGGAGTGTCTTGCTAAATATCTCAAAGTGAAGTTGGTAGCAGAGCTGATACCAGACTCCAGGTTTTCAGACATTGAATTTAGCACAATTTGTATTAAATGTTATTTACACAACACTAGATCTCACAGAACAGATGTTAAATAGGACCTTAAATGCTTTGAGAGACATGTGACAGCTAGACTCTTGCTGATACCAAAAAGAGACCTATGTTTTAAAACTAGAAATAATCAACTGGAACATGGATAGCTTCTAATTTGGAGTTTCTCTATCTCCACACTGAGAATTGTGACCACAGGAAGTCTGTACCCATGAGTTGGTGAATCTGGATTTGCAGAACACTCAAAAGGAAAGACTATTCTCAAGGCAAATCTATGCACAAGAATCTTTGGAGAAAACTACCTTACTATATGAGTTCAGGGAATAAATGTGAAGCTATTTAGCAAAAATCAACAAACTTTTTCTGTCAAGGGCCAAATGATACTTATATTTGGGTTTGTGTGCTACGTGGTCTCTGTTACAATCACTCAGTGCTTCTCTTGCAGAGCTAAGGTGGCCATAGATAATGTGAACAAGTGGATGTGGCAGAAGGGCAAATTTGGTCCTAAAGCCATACTTTGTTGACCCGTGATGTAACGTAATAGCTTTTACACTGTGTTCTTTAGGGCTTCTGGTTTCAATAAAATCATATGGTGGTCACTGTGGGTGCCAAAGGAGAGGACTAGAATATTCATTCTTCTATCCAAATTGAGTCCTTGGGGCTATTTTATGTAATGAAAGCCTGTGGAGGTTTTCATTCAAAGATATAATTGCATAGAAAAAAATTTTGAAGGTTGAAAATTCGGGGGATTTACTCTAATTTGCTTATTAGAGGCAGAATTTAAGGCTCCGAGACATAAAGAATTTGTCCATGATCATCCAGATCATGAATATCAGAGTGGGGATTAAATTCAGATCAGTGATAGTATGAGGCAAGTGATTTTCCTTATATTCTTTGAAATGGAATGCAATATAAAAGTTGACCTCCTTTCCTTTCAAATGGGCATGAATTGCATTCTGTTAACCTAAAAGAAAATATGGAGAGGGCTACTCAAATGTGGAGGCTCAATAGTAGTAAAAAATTGAGTAATGCTGTGTTTATAGTCAAGTACAGGGTGAGGAAAAGACCACAGTTTAGTGCATATAAATTACAGATTTACTCTATGAATATGGAAGTGAGGTAGTGGTGGTATGTATCTAAGTGGTGCTATCCCAGAAGGCAAAAAAAGACAGTTATTCTCCATGTGTAGAATTATCTGGGGAAACTGAGGACCATCCTTATGTGTGCATTTATTTCCTTTGAGTGCTTTAGTGTAAATCTTTTGGTTGTGTTGCTGTAGAGCATGTGAGGTGAAGTTCACCTTGTTAACTAGTTTTTCACTCTAATAAAGGATTTTCTTAAGGCCAGATCATCTCTTGACACTTCTCTATGTTTTAGCACAACAATGGTCTGGAGCATTTGGACCTGTAGCAAATGGACCTGGAGCAAAGGACCTGTAGAGCAATTGTATAGCTTTATCTCAGAGTAATTGGCTCGTTATACTTGGGAAAGATCAAATTAGGCTGGTTGTGCGTTCGTGGATTAGTGCACCAGTCTCTGCCCACTTACAAATTTTCATTACAAATCCTGGTATAACATGTGGCATGTGTTCCTCATATGTTCTTTGGGTTAAGTGGTAAGAGGGGCATATATCAGCTTAGTAGAGTAGAATTATCTCATTATTTTTCCTAGAGAAGTGTTTAGTTGTTTGGAAACTTTAGGTGTGAAGCTGGATAATTTATGTGATCAGCTAATGTTAAGCATCTATACACACATTTTCATATCATCAAATGTTAATCTTTTTAATCATCATTTATTCTAAACTATCCTGTTTAAACAAAATCTAGCAATTTCTAGATTTGTAATTTATGATTTCTCAAGAGTATAAATATTTCTAAAGAGAGAATTTTTAAAAAGAAAACTGTGCCATTTAGTCTTCATCATGTCAAAATGATATGGAATTCATCAGGCACATTAACCAGATACTTAAACATTTTCTTCACTAGTTTTTTTTTTTTCTTTAAGGAAGTTGATGTGTTAAATGATAACCACATATAAGGCATACTCTTGGGCGCCTTTCAAAACTGTTTCATGACCACATTCACTATTCCTGATGTACATATCTCCCAAGGTATTAAAATTTATGCAACATGAATATTAGTGATACAAAAATAGACAAGTTTTTGGCAATATAGGGAAATGCCATATTCTCTTTCTAAAACTCTTTAATGTGGAATGTGGTGCCAAAAAATATGACTGACTAGACAGTCTCGGAGATGAATTGTCATCCTTCCCTCAGAGTGGAAAACTTCAACTCACAGCAAGAAGGAGCACAACCATCCTGTTATTTAATAAGCACCAAACCCGAACTCAGACCTGTGATTACCCAGAAGGAGGCTTTGGAAAAGAATCTAAGTCATGTGCCTTTGTGTGCATGCATGCATTCATATCTGTGTGTGTGTGTGTATGTGTGTATTATTTGAGTTGGTAATGAGGCATAGGGTGAATGATACACAAAAAGCTGGATTTATAATTGCTTAAATAATTATCCTGGTAGTAGGACTGATGAGAGAGACAGAAGTCATTGGAGTGTCTGTCTCCTGCAGTGAAGCTTCTTGGTTCTATTATTTATCATATCATCAGCTGAGGGAGGTGGGAATGTGTAGCTTTGGGAAGGAATGACTCAGCTCGTAAGAGAGAGACAACATCACACTGGAAGCACTGTTGTGGGGAAGGAACTGCTTTGTTTTGTATGACTCTGCAGTGTAGAAGGATTACCAATGGATTACCAATGTCTTTATTTTAGACAAATATAAAATAGCTTTAAGTGATGTGACAAGGACTAAAAGAAATTTATGGAGATAATGAATTCAGTTAATTTTCAGTGTCTGACCTATGCAACCATAAATGGGCCATTCTCTTGGCAAGAACATTGTAGAAAAGACTTAAACATAGAAGACTGAAAATGTCTTTAACCTAAGAGTCTATGAACCTAATGATTACTTTACAAATTGTTTCGTTATCCATTTTATTTGTTTAGCCAGAGAGTGCTTACAAACCATTGCAAGACTAGTAATATAATATATTTCCTCATGGCTGAAAATGCTATCATTGCTTTTTCTTAAAGTCTTCAATCTCAGTGCAAACGCTTATTAACCAAAATCATTGCTTAAGAAAAATGCCAGTCACTCCAACTTACCTTGACATAGGCCACAATTTTCAAGGAAATAGTTGCTAAGTAGAGGGAGTTCATTGCAAAATCCATCAGGTTCCACCAATCATGGATGTATTCGGTAAATCCACCATCCCACATTTCCTTAATCTCTCCCCAAATGAAACCTGAAGAATGAAGGCAAAAATTTTATTTCTACACAGGAGCAGCCCTGGTCATAACAGCAGAATTTCCCCAGAGAATAAAGAGGAAATCAACATATGAGTTGGGGTCAGTGGAGTGAAGCTCAAGTGGCAGTAATCACTTACCTCTTTCTTTTTTACTTCATCTCTCAGTCTCAAACTAGTCAAATTTAATAGTCTTTTCCTGATAATGATAACTTACACTTTTCTGGATACCACTCACTTTTAGCACAGTTACTAGAATATTTTTGCAATTTTATCTTTCTTTTTCTGTTACATCTTTCGGTGCCTGATTCTACCTTCTTTCATTTTGGAATGGATGCAATCTCAACAATAGAATGATTAGATCAGCATTATCCCAGAGCCTTTACTTTCCATTAGGTGTTAGAGACAAAACTTCCTCATCAGTTTTGAGGTAACCAAGCTGACCATGCTTTAAATAACCAGATAGTGGAACTGAAGATAGGCAGTGCATCTCCAAATAATTTAGTATCCTCTTTTCTCCTCTCATTATTTGAGAGTGTTGTGGCAATTGCCTTATGATACAGATGTTTATTTACCATTAGAATATGGAAAACAGTAAAAGGTGTGTCTGTGGTCTAAGACAGCACAAATTTTCAAGTACATGCAAATCATCTGGAAACCATGCTAGCATGAAGTTCCAGTCTGGGACCTGAAATGTATAAAAAAGTACCATATGATGCCAGTATTGCTGGATTAAGGACCATAGTTTGAGTGACAAGGACTTAGAAGATGACTATGTAATGGAGAGGCCAATGCCATATAATTATGTCTTTAGGCTACTAGTAGAGTTGCTTTTACCATTACATGTATGAGTTTGTTAGATTTCCTTCCTTGGAGGATGTGGATCTGAACAAATACTAGGATTATGTGAAGTAACCAGGAGAAACAACAGAATCACATGCCTACTAGTTATGGAAAAGAAGACTTTAAATAGACTGACCAATACTTGCCCTTAGCTGAGACCTGTCCTAACTGATATTTGTCTTTTCTTTGTAAACACATTTATAGTCATCTCTTTGCTCTTGAATATGCTAGGTTATCAAAGGTAAGCCCTGAGCACACTTCTCATCTCATCATGAACCATGCAGTATTGAATACTAGGGTCTGGAACACAAAGATTCACATTACTCAGACTTCCAACAAAGCACTACATACTCCCTAGAGGAAGTTGTCTTAGTTCAGAGCTAGTCTGACTTCCTTTTCTAGTATTTTATCTAAAAGGTATCAGACAGCAGTCTGACCATTGCTCTAGGTCTCTTTGACTCACCTAGAACCCAAGGCAATATCATCCATTCTACCACAGTTGGAGGAGGCCCTTGTACATGAAGGTCTGTCCTGACAATGTGCTGAGAAGCCAAGAGAAGCATGAAGAGGAAGGTCAAATAGGATGCTGTGTGGCAGATGAACTTGATAAAGGGTTTCTTGATGAACAGTCCAAGGTTGCTCCTGGGTGAGATCAGATAGGCTATAGACAGCATGGGAAACAGGAACCCAATGGTCATGCAGGTCAGAAGCTTGACTACCCAGTGTTTCCGCCGCCATCCAGGGAAGCCGTCATACCACAGTGTGGCAAGCAATTGTTGGCAGTTGGGCTGAGCAACAAACTGCAAAAAGAAGAGAACAAGTTAAGCATCAAGGATAGCCAGGAGGAAGTCTATATTTATAATATTCCTTCCATTTATAATTAGCTGAATGGCTATTATCCAGATACTAAATTTTTTTTCATAAATAGGTCTAACCTTACAGACAGCTCTACATGTCAATCTGTGACACTAGATTTTCCTTAGAGTTGATTATCCTTTTTGATGTATTAAAACAAAAGTATTATTTGGTTCATGCTTTGGCATGTCTCTGTATTTCTCCTCCCATCAGGTTAGGGCAGTGGTTCCCCAAACCTGGCTCTGCATCAAAAGCTTCCAGAGAACATTTTTAAGAATCCAGCTTTCCATGTACTATGACACACTGACTAAATGCAATTCTGAGGTGGAGATGGGAGTAGAGCCTGGGCAGTGGTTTTACAAATTCTCTTTAGACATTCTTAACAAAGATTCATAAGACTCATTTCAGTGTGAGTCATTTCTATTCACTCCCCTAACCCACAAGGTCATTATCTACTGTGCACGCTGGACAAACAAACTGGCAGAGAATATGCCATGCTTGAAACTATGGTTTGAAATGGAAATGAGTTCTTTTTCTGATTTTGCTTTTTTCTCATTTTGTTTTGAACATTTCTTCATTGACTTGCAATGAATCAGGTTGCTTCTTTTGCCATCTATTTAACACCCTCTCTAGCCTAGACATGCAACAGAGGAAATAATATTTGGGGGCCAACATTACAATATTGTATACTAACTCAGCTGGGATTCTACTTAGAAGCAATCTACAAAGTGTCAATGATTAATAATTAAGGAATCATCAGCATTGTAAGTCACCTCCAGCTGCTATTTCCTGGTAAATGACTCAATAAGGAGTTAAGCTGTCAACTATCATTTTAAATGCTGTCTGCATTTGAATATTTCAGCTTCCCATGGGACAGGTTAAACAGTTTCACTACATAGCTTATTAGTACAAAAGCAATAAACCTCTTTCATCATTTAGGCAATTTCCAAGGCAATTCAACTCTGCTTTACTGTTTGTATAGACAGTCACATGTCTTCTATCAAAGCTATTCTCCTCCTTGAGCACATAGCTGGACTACATCTCCCACTCTCCATGTAGTGAGGTGTGGCCAAGTGACTAAGTTCTCTCTTATGGACTAGGAACAGAAAATGATGAGTGATGTTCCAAGCCCGACCTATAGAAATCTTTCAGGCACAACCCTCCATGCTTTTTCCTCCTTCTGGCTGACCGAGATGTCAAATGTAAACACTAAAAAAAGAAGATTTTGGAGTCCTCTACAATTCTTCAGCACAGATCTAGCATTAAAAAAATAGTTACTCAGTATCAACCTTGTGCCAGGCATTTTGCAAAATGTTGAGAATATAGTGGAGAACAAACATGCTTCCAGGCCTTGAGCAACACTCAGGTTTCTGGCTTTTAAGAAACTCCAATAGTCCTCAAACTTTTATTTCCTTGTGTTTTTCATGATTTGTTTTGAAGTTCCCAATGAGGAGAATTAGGCAAAGTCTCTATCATTTGCAATAGCTCTCAAGAAAATACTTTTACTTCTCGTGGAAACTTAAAAAACATAAGGAAAGGCACTTCCACAATGGTAGAATAAGGATTTCTGAAAACTCTCTTTTCCAAAATATCAACAAGACATCAGAAAATTTTTCAAATCAACTTTTTTGCAACTGGACAAATTAGCCAAAAATTTACAACAATCAGGGGAGCATTTATTCAAATGAAATGGTTGAAAGTTGGTAAGAACAGCAAGATTTGTGACATTATATCTTGTCTTATTTTCTTTACCCAGCTCCACAGTAACACTGAAACCCAAAAACCTGGGAACCACAGTAACTGTGAAAAGCACCAGCTTGGCACCCACTGGAGAATAACAGACTGGATTAGGGTCACCCTAAATAGACCTATCCCCACCAAATTTTCATTATATGACCTCTCATGTAACTCCCTAGAAAAGTCCTATTCATAGGTCTTGTCTTTATGTGAGCTGACTCAGTATCAACAGCCCTTTCCCCAGTGCATTTGTTGGGAAAAATAAGCAACAGTTTAATATGAAGATTACCTGAGGCAGGAGATAATATTTGGAGGAAATAGGCTAAAGAAAAAACCCAATCTGAATCCAGTAAATATAAAAAGGTTATACCAATAACAAAGTGGAACAAATATCCTAGGAATATGAGGGTAACAATATCAACCAATGTAATACATTGCACTACAGTAATACAAGGAAGAAAACACATTTTAGTTGACATTGAAAAATTGTTAGACAAAATTCAACGTTTTATGATTAAAACACTTAGAAAACTATGAATAGAACTTTCTCAACCTGTTAGAAGTCTTTTATGAAAATTCCATGGTTAACAGCACATTTAATAAAGAGCTACTGAAAACAGAAATAAGACAATCAGGAATAAAACAATTACACCTGCCCTCACCACTTCTGTTCAACATCATAATGGAGATTGTAGGCAGTTCACTGAAGTAAGAAAAAGAAAGAATGGACAACCGACTTAAAAAAGAAAGTTTAAAACTATTGCTCTTCACTGATGACATGACTTACTGTAGACAGATCGAAAACAAAAAATGAGAAGAGCTTATAAATTAGATAAACAAGATTGTAAGATACAAGATCAATATGCAACATTATTGTATTCTGTTAAACAGTAATTATGTGGATCAGCATTGTTTTTGAACTGAATTCTGCAACAGGGCCTGACATACCAGACCAAAACAAAATAGTCACTCAATAATCAAACCAACAGTGTAAGGAAGCAGATGAAACCCAAACGTACCAGTTTTCTCCCAAATGGGAGGTTACAGTTTACCTGGGTAATAGAAATTCCTTCTGCTTTAATCCTTCCCAAAACAGGAACTCAAACAAACCTGATGTAAATCAATCAACTTTTCCCCTATTGGTTTGCTTCCTTGTCTCCACCTTATGAAATTCATTGTTTTGCTATTATCTAGTGGGAGTTCTCATTCCATTTTGTGGAATGGAGGCTTCCCAGATTCACAAATCATGAAAAGGGGCCAATTAAACTTGTTGTACTTTTATCTTTTTGCTATGTTTGATGGCATATGGGAAGCCCATGAAAAAGTCAACAAAATAATTTACCTAGAGTAGAATAAATGCTGAAGGCAACTGACTCAAGTGCACACCCTGAGACACAGTGGGATAGTCAGGAGAGAGAATGGCGTTAGAGTGTGGAGGGGATGGTTTTTGGGGTAGGAGATGAGAGAATGGTTTACTATTTGGCTGTTGGAAATTATAACCTTGTCTGTGAAGGACAACTGTGTTCCTGGAAAAGTCTGTGTTTTGGTCTCTTGAATTATTGGTTGTCAGGCATACATCTAGGGGCCAAAGTATGTGAGATGTTTTTACTGCCTTACTATCCATAATGAAAAATGTTTTCATTGTTCTATTGTCTGAGAATGTTATACCATGACAAATCAGTGAAGTCAAATCATTGACCTTGGGAGAGTTTTCATCTTCTGGAGTTCTTTTTTATTTTTTATTTTTTGTAGTATTTATTTTAATTTTTTTTATTTAAAAGGAAAAAGAGAAAAAAAGAGCAAAACAAAACAGTGTAAGGGTACAAGTAATACAGAACTACAGAAAAAAAAAACCAAAAAACAGTAAGATATCACCAGTTAATAGATTACACACTATCATCTTTGAAACGGTGATTCAGGTCACAGGATCAAAGCATACAAAGTGAACATTCAAACAGTGAGACTGCAAATAGTTGTGTTCAATGAGCCAATCAAAAATATTAATATGGTCATCTATTTAACACACCTAAACACACTTGCTGTTGTATCCTTTAGGGCACTTTTTTTCCTCTCTTTATTACAACAAAATTTACACATTTTGGGTTTTATTGCTACCATATATATTATTACTTTTTTGAAAGAGAATAAAATCAAACATGATAAAACAAAGCTGTCAGTCAAAACCAAGGATAGACATAGCACATGATGTAAAAACAGAGTACAAGGTTATCAACAATGGTTACCATAATGCCTCTTGCTTCCTTAAGAAGAATTGTCTATCTCATTAGATATTATAAAGTTGAACTAAACAGTAGAGAATAAGACCAATAAAACCTAAACATTGTATACCTTACAAAACTTCAAAAGAGGATAATAGTCAAACCAGAATGGGCATCAATGTGAATCTTATTGCCTTCAAAGTAGTTGCCTATACTCTGATACTTAATACTATCATACAGAGTGGAACAGAGTCTAATCAGTCAAAACAAGATAGTGAGAGTATTACAGGACTTCAAATCATGTTAATAGGAGTTTTTTCTTGCTGAAAAGGGACAAAGAAAGTAGAGTTGGGATTTTAACGTTATTGATGGGGAATATATTGGGTTAGTCAGGAGTGGCTTTAAGTGGAAATATTAGGTTGCCCCTCTGAAGGACAAGTAGGAGGGAAGTCTCTGTTAGTGGAAAGAAGCTTGAAGCATTCTTGGGCCAACAGTTCTATGTAGATCTATTAGATCCCGGAAAAGATAAATTTTGTGAGACAATGAAGTAGAAAGAGTCCAAATATGAGCAGGAGGACCCTCATTGTGGCTCCAAGGAAGGTTAATAGCCTGGAACCCCCATACCCAAGTGTGTTTCTGGGAGAGTTAGCCGTTGTGCCCTTATTTCTGCAATTGGGATGCCTTATCTTGGACAGTGCTTATAGCCTACTGTATAATGCCTGTCTGGTTAGAATAGTGGCAGTATTGTTCTCCCTCTGGGCTACAGTGAGCATGTCCAACCTTTGAAGGGCCCTCAAAATTAGGGCATCTATTTTTGTAAGGCTTTAAAGGCTAAGAGATCTGGGTAACACCCTCAAACAGTTTGAGGGGGTAGGTATGGTGGGCACTTGAAGCTATTCCTAACCCCATACTTCCAGTTCTCACTCCCACAGCAATTCCTAAACCTGCTAAGAGAGAGGTTAAGATAATTGCTCCTTTTGACAAAATGA